CTTAACTTAGTATTATGCTTCTCTTTTAATGACCAACATTTTGCACCATAAAACACATATTATTTTTTGAGTTTAAATGTGATAAGAACTCCTATGAAATGATGGATCTATGTGATATGTTTAATTTAAATTTCTATATTAAATAATTAAACATTTTAAATATAAACTAATTTATTAAATTATAAATATTACTTAATATTCTTTTCTTAATATATTAAATTAATTTATTTGATGATTTAAATATTTCAAAAATTGAACTGACTGATTTAATTGAACCCGGTGAACCGACTGATTTAATTGAACCCGACTGGTTCACCGGTTAAATTGATCGGTCCAATTTGATTTTTAAAAGCCTGGTGCCAATTAGTTAGATGGTTAAAGTTTGAAAATTTAAGGTAAAAAAATTACTCATCATTATCAAAGAAATGTTGGTCTAATGCTTAACAAAAGTTTAATGTAGCTAATTTATCCACCATTCAATTGATAGGAGAACTAAATTTCTCCTAATCGAATAGCATTTTAGAACAACATAGATTTCAGAGGCAATATAGCTCATCCTTCCACTGCATGTTTAGCCAAAGCGAATTTCTACTGAGTTGCTTTATCTTTTACTTTTAAGAACTCATTGACTTGAACATTGAAACGTCACCATGAAAAAAAAAATCTAAGGCTTCGTTTTGGACGAGTTTCCTTCTACTTCGTAAAGCAGTTTTTTAGTACAAAATTAAAAAAAAAAAATTATACTATAAAGCTGCTTTAAGAAGCAGAAAGAAAGCTGTCCCAAACGAAGCCTAAACATAAATGATTGGTGCAAGTTTCTTAGTTAACACAAGCTATAGAAGTTCCAATAGCATTCATTCCTCTATAAACAATTATGCAAAATAACCACATGGCCACTTTCATATACATAGATATGCCAAAATACTGTTAATGCTATATTCAAGCATTCTATTCATCATCGTCAAGCAACCATCTCAAGTAGTCGGCTCCATTTTCCATGATGGATGACCTGTCTAATGGAACCACTCTTTTCCTCGTCAAGGCCTCAATGGTTATTCTTTCCCTCTTCCGTCCACCTCTCGGCCTTGACCTCCACTGTTCATCAGCTTCGAAAAAATTGCCCTTCATAACAAACCAACAAAAAAATGAGGCCTTGTCAAATTCTGTGTAAGATAAGACATTCTGATCAATCATGGTGAACAAAATTCTCAAAAAGCTATAATATACAAATTATAATATCAGATTTTATGGAAAATTATGTAAAGTAGTCAGCATGTTTCATTGTCTGGTACAAAAATATGAATAGGATACCCACATCAGTAAAATAGACACAATATACGAGAAAAATTATTTAGAAAGTGACGCCGGCGAAGGCGGAGGCTGCGATGGAAAAGGAAAAAGCGAGCTGCAGGAACTGGCAGTTCACGCAAAACCCAAGAACACTTTCTTGGGAGGGGATCACCACCTGAACTCCTTCAGGATACAGAAACCCAAAATAGAGTAAAACTACTCAAATATTATTCATCTCAAAAAAACTCCTTTATTACGAGCATTAGCTAAGTATTTATAGACAAATGTAGTCACATAATAGACTACACTCAAAACAAGAAAGCACTAATCTTATCCAGGCATATAAGCTAACAAATGAAATTAATTAGCTTGAAATTAACAAGTTCTAAGCAGCTCAGCTCCAGCATCAGAGTTTATGCCTGGTCCTGATACAATAGATGGAACAAAAAAAAATATTGGCTTGAGAAAATACCTGCACGTATACATGAGTCTTCTCGTGATTATCTCTAACATGCTTGTAAGGGAATCTTTGCTGACATCCAGATGTTCGACATCTGAATGGCCTAAGTTCTTCATGAACAGCTTTAATATGCTTATTGAGGTTTGATTTCTGCAATTACAGATTGCATATGTAGTGAATACTTAAAAAAAGAGAACCTTTAAACCATGAAAAACTGGAGGAAAAAACAAAAACTCTCTCTTCTTCTCCGCAATATCAGAATTTGAAGAAAGTGTTAGGGCTTAATGGAAAGAGAAAAAAAAGCATCTCCTAGACTATCCTGCTCTCATCATCATTATAAGTTAATTTGGTTTAAATTTTAAGATCGGCTGTCAACATAAAATATCCTGCTTCTATAATCACACAAATATGATCCAGAAACATTCAAATCAACATGAAAAAAAAGTGTATGAATAACAGTGGATGAAAATGAAAAAAATGATGGAATATTAAGAATAGAAAGAAAAAGTTGAATCTAAATGCATTTCATTATGGTGATTTGACCATCAAACTTTGTAAGAGCAATCATTAAGGTTTTGTTTGAGACAAGTAAATTTCTAGTTCAAAAAATTTTTATATGAAAAAGCTGCTTTATAAAATAATAAGAAAGATGTCTCAAATGAAGCCTAAGAAAAAGGTAGAGAGAAGACAAAACAAATCATTGAATCTTACCTTTGAGAACGATTGTTCACATCCTAGAAAACTGCACTTGATTCTTTCCTTTGAAATAACACCTTCATGTGCCCTTTGATGTCGCTTAAAATTTTTTCTCAATTTTTGGGCTCCACATATCTCACACTTAACATACTTGTGGCAAGATTGTATATGGGCCTTCAGGCACTCAGAATTTGTGAAAGGCTTCATACAAAGAGGTTCCCCACAAAAAATTTCCAAGAATTCCACCTTCACTATATCATAAAATAATTAAGATTTCATAATAGAAGAGACAATATATCAACTTTCTAAGCACTTCAAATAAAAACAATTATCTCAATTTTGCAAATCCATATCAAAACATCACTAACAATTGTTGCAGATGAATAGCCTTATTTGAGACATCAAGCTAAAATATATTCAGTTGTAAAAAAAAATCAAGCAAATTATTTTATAAGTACTTAGGGTTCTTTTAGGACGGCTTTCTTACTGCTTCTTAAAATAACTTTTTAGTATAAAAATTAAACACATAATAAGTCAACTATACTGAAATATTAAACACACAGTTCCCTAATTCGTATGAAACTTACAGTGGGAATCTTGATGCTTCTTTAATCTAGATGCAAACTTAAATATTTTTCCACATCCAGGCTCCTCACAAGTATGCCGTTTTTCAGCTTCACATGGGGATTCATCATCATGAATTTCCTTCACATGTCTCTTCAGATTTCCTTGGAAGGCAAATGCGCGATTGCAACTTTGGACAGGGCAATCAAAGACTTTGCCCTTGTGCTTGAGTAAATGTCGATTTAAATGATCCTTTCGTCGGTAACTAAAATAGCAATCCTTCACTGGACAAGCAAATGGTCTCTACAATAAGATAATCGAACCAAAAATCAGCCTAACAAGGATCATTACAACACAAAAAAAGAAAAGGAAGTTGATTAATTTGACATCACAACTTCCCAACAAAATTTATTGGTTCACCAGAAAGGAGAAAAATATCAAGTCTATAATATCTAAAGAGCAAAATACAGCCATTGACGAAAACAAATGAGTGGAAAAAAAATGAAAGAACAAAAACGAAAGATTGAACACCATCTAACAGTTTGCATCAAAGATTTTTCTTCACGATTACTTAACAGAACTTTAGAATAGCTTTCAGAAATCAAATATAATCCACTCAAAGTGAATCCATTAGCCTACCAATCAGAAGATTTTCATACGGGACAGGCTAACAACAATACAATATTGGTTAAATTTCATGAGGAGCAAACCTCACAGATGAGAAGATGCGTGAGTTAAGGCTTTCATGATGGAGCTTCTCAGGAGGTCTCCCAACCTGATACTAGTCCAATCAAGAAAAAATGACACCTTTTTGCATTTTGGAGTTCATCATGGGATCCAATGCTTCCACGCTTGTCTTTACAGTTCTTTTTGGGCAGATCACAATAAAGAAACCAAATGCCTGTAAAAACTGTTCCTTCACAGCAAAAAAACAAGATATTATATTTTCTTTATAAAACCATTCAGTACAGAAGCTATTCACTCAGAGCTCGCATTAATGGAAAAATGCGTTTCTTTATAAGCGAAATTCAACATTGCTTTACCATACCTATGAATTAAACAATTCTTTCACATATGGTATTTTATTTGATCTAAAAAATACATAGCGGGGTTAATAAAAGATTCCAAATTAAAATGTATATAATTTATATTGAGTAAACTTTTCTATGTGGATATATAATAGAGACAATGATCTTTAGTTAGCAAAATGGTACGGGTAAATATAAAAACCTCAACGGAGTGGCTTTTCATATGCTGCGCTAGATGAGCTGGTTTCCAGAAACTTGCGCCACACTCCTCACAAGCATGCTGAACCTTCTGACTTGCTGCCTTGAATGCACTAACCTCATCAAGTTTTACCATCTGTATTTCTTCCTGAATGTTATAGAGCAACATAATTACCAGAAATCCAATGAAATAAAAAACAAAAGATGAGAGAAAAATACTTCAAAAGATATTAGTTCAAGCATTTAAATGCATAAAGTTTTGAACTTTTACATTTCCGATGAGCATTTGAATCCTATATTATAATGGAAGGGAAGAGTGGCGAATTTAAGTATAGATAGGCAAATTCAACGAAAAACGGCAAAATGTTTATCGAGCAAACAGTATGAAAAAACATGTAGGTTAGGTAGCACTGTATTATAAAAGACTAGCCAACCTGAAACATTTTACACAACATGCAAAATTAATTAACCTTCCATGACAGCATTCAATGCCAATAATGAATGATGTTAATAAACATGTCCACAACCGTGAATGGCCATAGGTAATGAAGCTGTGGTGGGGGAACTTGACTGCTCTTATTGCGTTTCAAAGAGAGAAATTAATGGACATCTGAAAGTCTGTGAATATTGGGAATAATGCACATCACTTTTTAGTTTTAGTTTCCCATTTCAGTTCAAGCCATGTAAATGGGAGTTATTGTCCAGTACTTCGGGCAAGTCTGTTAGATTTAACTAAGTATTTCATGATTTCAACAAAGCCCATGCAATTTATATTAACATCTAACAGGAGTTCAGAATCAATACCAAAATACAAAGTGCAAATTACTACTCACTTTTGTTCTTATTTTCCATTAAATGATGCTGCAATCCACAATGTTATTGTTATCCCTGTGTTCAAAGCTGCTATTCTGCAACTATTTTCCACCAATTTCACTATTAGTCAAAGCAATCATTGTCTATTGCTTCTCGTCAATGCTCGGTGCACCCTGTTGCCTTCCCTGTTCTTGGGTCATTTGTAGGTTATAAATAAAACTATAAGGAAATAAATTGCAAATCTCCACTTCCTTGTGTATATGAATGTTGTGTTTCATGAGGATGGACAACTACTTTTGAAAGACACTTGTTGTACTAAAGTGAAGCATAGTTCTTCCCTTTTGAATAATTTGTATCCTTGTTCACATCTCTTAAATTATTCAAGAATTAATTTTGCATATAATTAAAATCTTATCAGGTAAGATAATATTTTTTTAGTGTGAACTTGATTTGTAACACTGCCATTGCCAGGTCCAAAATCCTAGTTGACAACTAGTGTTGTTGTTGTTGTTGTTGTTGTGAACTTGATTTGTAGCTAAAATTTAATGTTGAACAATATTTTTTCTTATATAATTTTAGGTTTTGTGTCAACTTTTAAATGATCTTGTGGAATGAATAAACGAGTTTGTTGTTGTCCAGACATTAAAAGAAGAGTAAATGGTCAAAACAGTCCTTTGACATTTTAAGTTTGTTCATTTTAATCCCATATTTTTTAGATGTTCAATTTGAACATAATTTGATCCTATCATAAACTTTGTAGTTTCCTTGGACAAAACTAAGTGTAGAGATGCTCCGCTTGGGATATTTTAAACTTTTTGGGTAATTCTTTTGAGTTGATAGTAAATGATGAGATAAAATGTAAAAAAAGCCTAAAATAACCTCATAGAAAGCATCTCTCAACCAATTACGATCAAAAGAAACAACAAAAGTTAACTACGATCAAAATTTAACACCTTAAAAAATCTGAAACAAAATTAAACACAGATAAAAAATATAGGAAACAGTCCTACATCAGAACTGTGATTAAGAAAGCTGGAACATGTGCAACATGAAAGTGAAGGTTGCAACAGCCTAAAAAGTCATTTTCTGCATGGAGATGGCACACACCGGCAATGTTGAGACGCAGGTTTTCAAATTCTAAGGCTTTGTGGAGCTTCTTATAGATCTTCCTTTTTTTGACATTTAAGTGTTTAGTAGAACAATTGAAGTGATATTAAAGCTTCAATCCAAACTATGCAATATTCCATAATCAGTTCAACCATGGGTAGTTGAACCTCTAATCAATAAACTACAATTGTAGATTCTGTACAAACCCTATTAAGCAAATCCAACACCTAAAGTTTACTGAGTAGATAAATTGTTTCCCAATGAACGTTTTAAATTAACCACCAGAAGAAACCTTATTCTTTATTTATCATATCATCATCATCACCCTTATCCCAAATATTTGGGCAAACAAAATGACTGAAGCAAGATGCCTGAGTAAAAAATTTATTAGCTACTTCGTGAAACATTCATTAATTGGTAATCAGGTTCCACATATCTCAGTACATTTGTACATATAAGAACTTCAATGAAAAAAAAGGATAATAAATGCTACAAAACCTGAGTAAAAAATCCAAAAAATGGGAAAGATTTCAAATGAAAAAGGAAGTGCGGAAATACCTTTATCAAATAACAAAACATTGTGATTAATAAAATAGATAACAGTAATTCATGAGAAGATCATAACCAAACATTCAAAAAACAGCCGTGGTGTTTGCCATTTGCATACCTTATGGTGCGAGAGGATATGAGATCTTAAAAGAGATTTCTTGGACCTACAAATTCCGCAATACTCGCAGTAATATCTCCTGATGTCTCTAAAAATGAACCGTTGCTTATCATTTTCCTTCACAGCCTCCGTTTCCATATTCCTTGCAAATGATTGCTACAAGAAGATAATAAAAAATAGTAAATTTAGTGAGAAAAAAATGCTTAAATCAACTAACAGAACTATCTGATCCAACTTTTATGTAATAAAACACTCACAGCAAGCATACAACCTGATGTAAGGCGTAGTGCATTATTTTCTTCATGACACTTATTGAATCAACAACAACATGATAAAAAGCATAGAAGATTACCGCATACCCTTTACAAACTATGTTGTCCTTCAAATTAACTTACAAGCTCATCTTCTTTTTCACATGCCGCTCGTTTCGTTGATACCTTCTTCTGCGATCTCCCGTCGCAACTTCCTCCCACCTTAATCGTCTCGACGAGTTTGAGAATTTTGGGGAGCGGGGACGTAGAGAGAAAGACCAGGTCTCCGCCGTTAGGGCGTCACTTGTTTGACATCGGATTTGAAGCACGATTTACGGTAAATCCTGCCAAACAGACAAAAATAGCCATCTTAAATCTCACGGAGAATTAAATCCTCCGTTTTCTCTTTTCAGCCGTAAATCCCGAATTTACTAAATCCTATGATTTAGTGGATTTACGGTTTTTGGGCGAAGGAATGCGCGATAGGGGAGAAAGATGGTTACCATCGAAGCGAGTGAGCTCCGTCATGGTTGATGGCGAAGGAAGAACTTTGTTTAGCTGTCGTGACTTCCGATTCGACAGAGAAAGGGGCGAAAAAGCTTTTAGCGACTTGTTCGAAACCCTACCTCACGATACTAACAAAGTCTGCGAAAGTAGGAGAGGGAAAACAAACTCTATAACTAGAATATTTAGATAATTAATATTATTTTTAATAATTATTATTATTAGATAACTAATATTATATTTAATAATTATTATTATTTAAATAATATTAAGTATTTAATTAAATTATTTAAAAATTAAATCAACTTTCAATTATATTATTTAGAATTGAAACTTATTGTCGATAAAAAAAATTAATAACAACTATTTGAATTTTTAAATACAAATTAAATTTAAAACATAAATTTAATTTAAATTTTTAATGAATTAATCTTAAGTCATGAATTACGTTATCAAATAATTTCTCAAAATATAATAAGATTTAACAGTTATCTTGCTAAAGTCATAAGCAAGATAACTGTTAAATCTTATTATATTTTATGAAATTATTTGATAACGTAATTCATGACTTAAGATTAATTCATTAAAAATTTGAATTAAATTTATGTTTTATTAATTTGTATTTAAAAATCTAAATAGTAGTTATTAATTTTTTTTTACCGACAATAAGTTTCAATTCTAAATAATATAATTGAAAGTTGCTTTAATTATTAAATAATTTAATTAAATACTTAATATTCTTTAAATAATAATAATTATTAAATATAATATTAATTATCTAATAATAATAATAATTAAATATAATATTAACTATCTAATAAATTATCTAAATATTCTATTTATAGGGTTTGCTTTCCCTCTCCTACTTTCCCAGACTTTATGAGTATCGTGAGGTAGGATTTCAAACCAATCGCTAAAAGCTTCTTAGCCCCTTTCTCTGTCGAATCGGAAGTCACGACAGCTAAACAAAATTCTTCCTTCGCCTCCGACCACGACGGAGCTCGCTTCGATGGTAACCATCTTTCTCTCCAATCGAGCGTTCCTTCGCCCAAATACCGTAAATCTGCTAAACCATAGAATTTAGTAAATTCGGGATTTATGGTTGAAAAGGGAAAACGGAGGATTTAATTCTCCGTGAGATTTAAGATGGCTATTTTTGTCTGTTTGGCAGGATTTATCGTAAATCGTGCTTCAAATCCGATGTCAAACAAGTGACGCCCTAAAGACTGAGACCTAGTCTTTCTTTCTACGTCCCCACTCCCCAAAATTCCCAAACTCGTCGAGACGATTAAGGTGGGAGGAAGTTGAGACGGAAGATCGCAGGATAAGACATCAACGAAACGAGTGGCATGTGAAGAAGAATAGGAGCTTGTAAGTTAAAGCTGAAGGACAACATAGTTTGTAGAGGGTAGGCGGTAATCTTCTCTGCTTTCTATCATGTTGTTGTTGATTCAATAACTGTCATGAAGAGAATAATGCACTACGTCTTATATCAGGTTGTATGCTTACTGTGAGTGTTTCATTACATAAAAGTTGGATCAGATAGATGATGTATCAATGTAATTGGTAGGTCAAACTAATGGGGAGAAAATTAAAATCATAAAATTGCTACAATAAAGTTAATAATAACATGAAGTTGTGCAAATAGATTTGTTCAAAATAAAGTTAACATCTTACAATGATGCAAGCACCGACGAAGGAGGAGGTGGAGCGAGCCAGCGAAGATTAAGAACTGGACGGCGAAGGATCCAAGCATGGACGAAGGAGCTGTGAAGGAGTATCTGCAGCGACCAGCGACCAACGGACGAAGGACGAGCTGCAGCGACCAGCGATGCAGCAACGAAGGAAGAAAATCGGAGACGGGAGACGGGAGACGGGCCGCTTCGGTAGTTACGGGAGCTAGAAAATGAAATTTAGGTTTAGCTTTACATGTTTTAGGGGCTGTTTGGTATCGGATTTATCGTGGGATTTAAGTCGGATTTACGCTAAATCCAGCCAAACGGTTTTTGTGCGTGCGTTAAATCCCGGGATTTCATAAATCCCGAACTTAGGGATTTACGGCTTAAATCCCGGATTTACTAAATCCCTCGGTTCGGTGGATTTAACGGGATTTAGCCGAAGAAGAGCGCGAAAGGGAGAAAGTTACCTTCACAGCCAGCGAGCTCCCGTTCCGATTAAAATGTCGTAACTTCCGATCCGGCAGCAAGGGAAATTCGTCGAAGGAGCGAAGTTTAACAGCCACGAAGGAGCCGAAGAAGCGACGCGTGCAATCTCTACACCTCTGCAAAGCAACGAAGCCGAACAACAACCAAAAAGAGAAGATGAAATGCAAAACCCTTGACGCCTCTAAGGTATTATTGATTAACTTAATTGATATAATTTAAATTATTAATAATTAATTAAATTAATTAAATATTAATATAATTATCTTACTTAGTATAACTTAAAATCTATATTATTAAATATATAATTAATAGTATATATAATAATTAACTAGTAATTTATACTTAACATGTTATTAAATTCTTAACACATTAATTTTTATTTTTAGTTATAAATTTATTTTTTAATCTACAATTATCTTCTTCACATTTAAATCCCTAATTGTCATAAATCCTAAAATATATTACCAAACAGTTTATTAGGATTTAACATTTGGCATACCAAACAGTTATGAAGATTTAACACATTTGGGATTTACTAAATCTGGATTTACAGGATTTACTAAATTTCTCTCAAAATAAATCCCACTTGTTGCCAAACAGCCTTTTAGTGTTTTACTCATACTTAAAATACCGCATGATTAATATCAAACGGTGGAAATCGCATTAAGGCTTAAGTGGCTGGTTCTCTCCCAGCTTCCGGTTCACCGGTTTCGCGGTCCCACCGCCGGTCGGACCGGTTCAGTACTGGTTCTTTGATTACCCGGTTTCTTTAGATGACCGAACCGGCCGGCCGGCCGGGTGCCGGTTCAACCGGTTGAACCGGCCGGTCCGGTCCGGTTTTCAAAACGTTGCCAAATCCTACTAAAATTAATGCTATTTGTTGTCAAACAAAACGTTAAAGAATTTATTTGGCAATTTTTTTTATAAATTTAATATTTTTCTTAATGTTGTTTACAAGTCAAACAACAAAGAATTATTTTTTGGTAAGTAGTTGATTAATTACAAACTTTTCTCAATTTATAAATATGAACATGTTATATTCTTCATCTCCTTTAAGATGTGAAGAGTTATAAGGATGTCTACTATTATTTTGACAAGAAAGCCTAAGTTAGGCAGCTATATATTCAGAGACTAATTAGAATGAGACACGTCTGCAATACTGAGTGCAGTACCGAGCGGTACCCAACTGTGATACCGATATGGCTCATTCTGGATGATCTCCGGACGGCATTTAGCGTCCGCACAGAATAATTTATTAGTAACATTAAATATTCACAACTTCAGCTTCTATAAATTTATAGGTTTTGCATTATATGTGCTATTGCATGTGATCTATAATAGCGTGCCTTGTGGGCCTGTGGCAAAGAGTATACTTATCATTCACTAAATAATTTATCTAACTTTAATCTGTGTAGAATATTATTGAGTCAAAGAGAGTTTGGCTTCCAATAAATCTCAAAAATTGGGTAGGGAGAGAGAAAGATATTAGAACGCACATTAGAAAATGCTCAATTGATTCTCATTCAAACCCTAATATCTTCAAATGAATGATATTTATAAATGTGAAATACTACTACTCAAGTCTCAATAGCAGCCTATTATGTACCTAATAATTCTATCTCAACTCATATATCTATTGCAATTATTTAACTATTAACCCTTTGACCTCTTCATCTCCTTAACTAGGAGTGTTAAGTGAGTTGAGCTGGCTCAAACTTGACTCATTTATAGACTCTAAAGCTAAGCTTAGCAAGCTCACGAGTCATGTTAGAGATTGATGAGGTTCAGCTCGAGAGCTCACGAGCCGCTCGATTCACTAATAATATTTTTATTTTATTAGGTTAAAGTTGAACCCGCCTAATCCCGCTTAAAAATTAATACTAAATATTTTGCTGATCTCGATTCCGGCTTATTCTATTTGAGCCAGCTCGAATTCGAGGTAGATAGCTCATTAGGCGGACGCAGAAGAAGACGAGCTCGAGGCGGATGCGATTCTTGAAGGCAACGAGACGCGGAAGAGGGCAAGACGTTGAACTGTCAAAGGCTTGCGAGTTTGACGATTGCGAAAGACGCCGGTGGCTTGCGAGCAGAGGCGGAAGACTTGGAAGATGCAAAGGCTCGCAAGCCGGCTCGAGCTTGTTTACAGTAGGACGAGCTCGAGTTCGATCTTGCCTTTTGAGATGGGTGGAGTCAATTTCTCACATAGCCTGAGAATTTATGTTAAGCTATTATTGTACTAACTGCCTCACGATTGGCTTGAAAATCACTAGATTTATTTTGAGATTAATGCTACAAATAAATAGTTTATATCGTACTAAGTGCTATCATCGCCGTTTGTGCTTTTGTGCTCCCTGAAACCCCCAACTCACTAATTGAGTGCGGGCATGAGGCCGCCGCCAAGGCAATGCTACGTAAGGTGCGAGGAACTGATCACGTTGACAAGGAATACCAAGACTTAGAAATCGCTAGCAATGACTCCAAGACCGCGCGGCATAATCGACCATTCATGATGAGATTTTGTTATTGTTATTATGATATGAACAAGTATTCTTATTATCAACATTTACATTTATATGTGCTAGCTGGCACAGCTTAATGGTTCTGTAGATGATGCATTAACTATATAAAATCATTTTCATACATTGTCTTTATGTCATTTGGTGGAAAACTTTTTTGAATGTTTATTCTATGGTAAGTAGAAAGAAAATACATTTTGAAAATAATGATTTTATAATTATCTATTTTATTAGTAATGATAAAAATCATTATCTTTCCTTTTTCAGCTATTTTAAAAATATTTATAAAGTTTAAATTCTTATTTATTTATTATTACATCACAAACTTTAAAAACATATTTTCTAACTTCTATTAAAAATATTTTCTAACTTTTATTAATCTTTAAAATCATATTTCAATATATTTTAAGCTATATTAAAAATATTTACAAAGTTTAAAATTTATATTTATTTTTAATAACATCACAATCAATTAATCAATTGGAAACTAACCGAACTATTAGATGAACAGAGCATGGAGGGGTTTTAAATTTTTAATTGTTAATTCAACGAAGCTTTATAAGGCTCAATCAAATGACAGCATCATTTAGAACATGATAAATGAATATCATTGCTCAGATTCCACAACGAGTTGCAATCTTCTTATTATTCTTCTTCAAATGTCATAGGTCTAATTATGGCTTCCCTTTCTTCTTCAAATAGTGTTGTTATTGGTTCAGTAGATGACTTCTTCAATAAACTCTCGAGTCTTGTTGTAACATCCTCTCACTATTATCAAAGCATTCAATAACAGTGAGCTCCTGCCATGACTTACTCATCATTGTCAACACCTTCTCCACCAAACTCTCATTGCAACTTCCTCATGATCCTTCTTAGAGATCTTGACCTCATAAGTCAAACTCAAGCATGCCTTTAAAACAATAAGTCGCCATGAGGCATGCCAATCACAACCTCATAGGCTATCATTTATTCTTCTTCTTCTTCGAGCACCATCGACACTGATCCCATAAGTGACTTCTCCGAAATGCTCCCATCACAACTCCTCACACACACATCAGATACTCAAGTTTTGAACTCAAAACCTTTTGGTTGATAGTCAAAACCGCCTACAAATATATCAAGCTGAACTGCACCATTGTGATATTCTTATTAAGCTGATCACGAGTTGTTAGCAAAGGATGAACCGTTTATTTGACAAATCTAATATTAGTAATATATTGGCTAACTGATCAGCTAGTATGGGCAGCATGTTGATTTGGGATTATTTTTTTGTTTTTTCTCTTATATGAAATTTTATATATTTGAAGAATTTGTTTATCTTTATTTGTAAAAAAAAAAAATTAAAAATATATTTGACAATAAAAATAAAACTTATATATACAATTATATTTTTTTCAGTCAATATTTGTCTTCTTGAGAGTAATAATTTATCATGAGCATCTCATAAATAGAGGCATATGGAAGTCATATAACTCCAAAATTTTTATATTTAGTTAGATGAACTACATAAAAATTAATGGTTCTAGTCATGATCTAATAAGATGGAATAATACTTAGAAACATGCATGTATGTACTTTCCTTTATACATGAATAATAAGAGGAATAGATGTTCGAAGACCAACCAGAATGCGGCGCATCACCCCCTCGCTTGGTACCGTGGCTCGGTACTACTCGGTACCACAACCCGATACCGCTAACGTGACGCATTCTTGTTAGTATCCGAACATCGTTCTGAATCCGGACTCCGCACAAAATAATTTCTCTTAATTGTGAGACATGCACATTGGTGATTGACATGCATAAAATTTCAAAATTCAAATTGGAGAGGCTTTGACATTATTTCCCTAATGAGATTACCAAATTAATATGTTTTATTTAATTCATATCAATCAATATCATTATTTAAAAAAAAAATTAAATTTAGAAATTATAAAAAAAAGCTGCCATAGAATAATTCCTTACGCCCTGTTGGCGAGGCTTGGTCTTTCTCTCCAGATCCCCCGCCCAAATTGCCAAAACTCAATAACAACCCCCAGATTCCAGGAACTCGCGAGACTATAAATATGGGAGCAAACCGAGAGAGTACCAGAGGGGTGCGAAGGAGAAGAGAAGTTTCTAAGTTAGAGCTGAAGAACAAAGGAGTTAATTGGGAGAGGGGTTGGCGGTATTCTTTTCTTCCTTTTCTTCTCTATCTCCTTAATTTATCTTCTCTTTATGATCTGCCTAGAGCCTTTGGCCTGTCTAGGGTTTGCTTATCTTCATCGCCATCACTTCGTTGCTGCTTCGGCTTCGTAGAGATTAGCGTGAAATGGTGGAGAAACGGGATTTAATATTCTTTAGGATTTGAAGTTGTTATTTAATTTGGCTTTTTGGCAGTTTTAGATTAAAGTTTTTTTGCGAGTCTGAACCATTAAAACTTCTAATGTGGAAAACAAGAAGAAATAACAGATATTTAGAAATTTGAAGAGTGGTTGATGAGATACTAAAATTTGAAAGTTATTTAATCCCAAAAACTGAGCTGAAATTCATTCTTGGTAGAATTATTTGTGCAAGCCGTATCACTTTATTATCCAAACAGGAACTATTAGAATTAGTTAATTAATTACCTGATCATCTATTAATTACATTCTAAATATTCAATTTTTTAAAATAAATTATTGCCAGAAATAATTAATCATTGAGATACATCTTAATTGCCATCATTGAATATATTTCAAATCCTCTTTAAAGGAGAAAATATTTTTCAAATCTAGAACATAAGATGCTCTATGAGGCACCTGCCCAGTCCATGTTAAATCTACATAAAGAACAATTGGGCAAAAGCTTACAAGTAAATCCTCTATTGCTTCCATTTGCTTGCTTAATTACTATGTCCTCTAGAAAATGCTAAGATCTTACCAAGCAAGTTAATTAATTATACTAATATAACATTAATCCATCATTCCATAAGCTATATTATCGCACAAAAAGCTGTATTTTCATTTCGGAGTATCCTAAAATGCCAAACTAACCATGCGCTTATAGATAAGCCAACCATTGTATATGTCTATATGATATGAGCTATTGCTATAATGGGATCAAAATTAGAAAATGTTTTTGTGAAATTTATACAAGACATGCACATATATACATATTCCTCAGGCTAACCATTTGTTGCTTTCTCGCTCAATTTATTTATTTTTCTTATTCAAAGCAATGAATTCATAGTTTGAGACTATTATATATACCTCATTTTTATTAGTTTTTTTTTTTTTTGTGTAAACTTGCAGGGTTTGTTGCATCTGTTGTTTAGTAATTCAACTCGCTGGACTTATCACGCAATGATGCCTATCATGGTTACATTTGTTATATCAGCTAAGAAATACTTTTTTATTCTTGATTCTCTTCTTATTGATTCATTAACTGTCACAGCAAGTGATAAATATTAGGTTGTTTGCTTGCTATGAGTGCTTCATTACATAAACATTGGATCAGATAGTTCTGTTAGTTGATTTTAGCATTTTTATTATTAAATTTGCTATTTTTTATTATCATCTAGTAGCAATCATTTGCAAGTAAGATGGAAAGAGAGGTGCTCTTTGTTATCTAGTCTTCTCTGAAAGTAGTAGGATTTAAACTTGAAGTTCTTCCATTATATGCATATAGTCCTCCAAAGTGAGGCCTTGGTCATCTAGATCTTCACCACCTATATTTTATTGTTTTCGATTGAAGGGTTGATTGCTAACCATGGAGAAATATGTCTTTATTTTCTGGTAGTATAATTTTACTATCAGCTTTATATGATCTCTCAATTCTTTTGATATATATTTTATTATTTCAGCTCTAATAGCTGGCTATTGCTTTTGTATTTGTAACTATTCCTGTTTGGTAGGTCCCTCTATGCCAACAAAGTTTTTATCCATGCTGAAAGTTATAAAATCCTATATTTTGATAGTTTTGTGGTACTGTGATTCAGTTTTAAAATTTTTATTTAAAGTATAAAATAAATAAAACTAAATAATAAGGTATTACTTTCAATTCAAATGAAAATTTTCTGGACATTAGTGTAGACTGGGGAGTAAATATTGTGGCTTGTCATTTAAAAAACATACTTTAGCTTGACTTATAAGATCAATGTCACTAAGAAGGATCGCGAAGATTCACAGTGAAAGTTAGGTGGAGAAGGTGTCAATGGCATCAAGTAAGTCATTACGGGAGCTCATTGGAGAAGACTTTGATGATAATGAGAGGAGGTTATGATGCAAGCTTTTTAGAGAAGTCACTTATGGGATCAGTGCATGTGATGCTTGAAGAAGAAGAAAGGGACAGTTTATGAGCAGCATACCTTGTGATGGCACATTGTTTTAAAGGCATGCTTGAGCTTGAATTTCGAGTTCAAGGTCTCTGAGAAGGATCGTGAGGAAGTCACATCAGGAGTTTAGTGGAGAAGGTTCCGACAACTGTAAGTCGGGAGAGGAGCTCCCTGTTGAATCTTTTGACAATAGTGAGAGGAGGTTGCGACGAGAGTTTTTTGGAGAAGTTGCTGTCTGGACCAACAATAATAGCATTGTTTGAAGGAGAAAGGGATGTCAGAATTGGACCCATGACATTTGAAGAAGAAGAAAATTGCAACTTGCAGCGGAATTTGAGCAATCATATTTATTTAGTCTATCCTAAATGTAGTGGTCATGATCTTTGGATTTAATATGAAATTTTAAAAAATAGGATGGATCATGGCATTCTCAATCTCTTGGGAAAAAGGTGGGGAAAATATGGATTGTTTAATCAAATCAATTAGTGAGTGAATGAACTGAGTCTCATAAAGCTCAAACTCAATTAATATGGGAGATGTAATATATGCTCGAGCTCATGGCTTGATAAACTTGAGTCACATGCTCATTAGCACGCCGGATGGTCTCACTACCCCGCTAAGTTAGATATTACTAAACTCCCAAGTACCCAAAGTAATGAGAAAAGAGAAGTATTATTTTATAATAAATTTTTAAGTTTGCTAGCATCTCACTATTTATCTTCCTACTCTACGTCACAGAATTGCAATATTCTATTTCTCTAAGAAACAAAAATGTGCGTTTACCATAATAGCTATCGTTAAAGATAACATTTTTTAACTTATTGCCTTTGCTTCATTGAATTAACAATTGAAACACCTTCACTTTCTTGAGATAGTCATCAGCTTGGGGTTTCGGTTCATATAAAGGCATGAAGCATTAAGTTGTGTATATGGCATATTTGTGCTTAGTTCTCTTAGTTCCCAATCGATTAATTGATTGGGATGTTATTAAAAATAAATATATATTTTAAACTTTGTATATATTTTTAAAATAGCTTAAAAAGTAATTATAATGATTTTTATCGTTACCAATAAAAATGATAAAAGTTAAATGATTATTTCAAAATGTATTTTCTTTCTGCTTACCATTGAATAAACATTCGGCAAAGTTTTTTCTCCAAATGACATAAGCACAATGCATGAAAATGAATTTATATAGTTAATGCATCTTCTACATAACCATAAGCGCTGTGCTAGCACAAATAAATATAAATTTCCATAATAAGAATTCTTGTTCATATCTTACAAATCATCGCTCAGAATAACAATAATAAAATCTCATCATGAATAGTCAATATTTATGCCGCACTAAGCATTGCGATGTGTATAGCCTCGTAGGGATGAACTTTTTCATAACTAATGCTTCTTCCATACGAACATCATCTCCTCAATCGGTACATTCTTCATCTCCGGAGAGAACAACAAGATGAGCGTCGTCAATATGATAGCAAAATTGACAAAAAAAGTAAAAGAGTTTGAATTTTATGTTGCAAAACATGTTGAGGAATAGCCGAGCAATTACGAAATTGAAGAGCATGTTCACCAAAACTTTGATGTTCAGCCTGATCTCCAATGAGAAGATCTCCGATGGCATAAGCCAACCTAGCAGTGACCACACGAAGGCCGACACATAGATGCAAATAAAGGCCACCACCAACCCGACATAGCTCTTTGACAACTCCGTGTGCAAGCCAGTGACTCCGAACTTGATGCCAATGAGCGTGCCCACAATGATCTGGCATATGATCATTTGAACCCCGCCTTCTAAAAATAGGGTGCATCAGCCCAACTTATCTATAGATGCAATGGATACGAATGTAGCCACCATGTTCACTATGTCAATAATGACGATGTACATGAGTAAAGCCTGGTCGTCGAATCCCATGATTTTGAATAGAATAGGGGCGTAGAACATGATAACGTTTATGCCGATGAGTTGTTGGAAAATGGGGATGAGTATTATCATGGTGAGTTATGGTCTGTATCTACGTTGTATGATTTTTTTCCATGGGTGCTTCATGGCCTTAAAGTTGCTGCTGGAGATTATCAGGTCTTAGTATTCCTCATCGATGTGATCAGTTCCTCGCACCATGATGAATTACAAGATGTTTTGCTCTCCAGTAATGACGCCAAGGCCTTGAAGCACTCATGAAAAAATATGATAGAGCCTAGATATAGACCACATCTCACCATGGAAAATACACATCTACTTTTTTTTTCAACAAGTCATTGGCATAAATGAGGTAATGTTCTACGCCCTAATATGCTCTTCAAAATTGTAGGCTTCAGCAACCTAGCATAGCTCATGTCTTATATTATCACCAACTTGTTGAATGTGGTAGCCACATTAGTGCCTATTGTATATGTAAACAAGTTTGGGCGGCGTGTTCTATTTTTAGAAGATGGGGCTCAAATGATCATCTGCTAGATCATTGTGAGCACACTCATCATCATTAAATTTAGAGTAATCGGTGCACACACGGAGTTGTTAAAGAGAAACACCGGGTTTGTGGTAGTGTTCATTTGTGTATACGTGCTAGGCCTCGAGTGATCTTGACGATCGCACGAGAGGTTTGTGTCATTAGAGATATTCCCAATGAAGGTTACATTGGTGGGGCATAGCATCTACATCTTGGCGAAAATGTTCTTCACATTCATAATTGCTCAGTTGTTCTTCAACATGCTTTGGCACATGAAGTTCATACTCTTCTACGTCATTGTCAGCTTTGTTATCACAATGACAACATTCAGCTTTTTCTTTTTTCAGAGATGGAGAATATGTCGATCGAAGAGATGGTATTTGTATGGAGAAAGCATTGGTTTTGGAGAAAGTTCATCCTTGATGAGGCTCTGCACGCCACAAAGGTTGTTGCTACATTATTGAATATTCATGGTGAGGCTATGTTATTATGATCACGATCGTTGGATTTAATATGAATTGATAAAAAAATATGATATGCATCATGACATTCTCAATCTTTTGGGAAAAGAAAAAGGTTTTTTTAATCATAAAGCTCAAGCTCAAACTCAATTAATATAGGAGATGTAATCTAAGCTCGAGCTCATGGCTTGATAAACTTGAGTCACATGGTCATTAGCACGTCGGATGGCATCAATTACATCTCAAATTACTATTTATCTTCCTACTCTACATCACAGAATTGCAATATTCTATTTCTCTAAGAAACAAAAATGTGCGTTTACCATAATAGCTACCGTTAAAGATAACATTTTTTAACTTATTGCCTTTGCTTCATTGAATTAACAATTGAAACCCTTCACTTTCTTGAGATAGTCATCAGCTTGGGGTTTCGGTTCATATAAAGGCCTGAAGCATTAAGTTGTGTATATGACATATTTGTGCATAATTCTCGTAGTTCCCAATCGATTAATTGATTTCGATGTTATTAAAAATAAATATAAATTTTATACTTTGTATATATTTTTAAAATATCTAAAAAGTAATTATAATGATTTTTACCGTTACCAATAAAAATGATAAAAATTAAATGATTATTTCAAAATGTATTTTCTTTCTACTTACCATAGAATAAACATTCGGCAAAGTTTTTTCCCCAAATGACATAAACACAATGCCTGAAAAAGAATTTATATAGTTAATGCATCTTCTGCAGAAACATAAGCTTTGCCAGCACAAATAAATATGAATTCTTGTTCATATCTTAAAAATCACCCCTTATAATAACAAAAATAAAACCTCACCATGAATAATTAATTATGCTGTACCAATCATTGCCACGTGTAGAGCCTAGTCAGGGATGAACTTTGCCATGACAAATGCTTCTTTCATACAAATATCATCTTCTCAATCGGTGCGTTGTTCTTCTTTGGAGAGAACAACAAGATGAGCGTCATCATTATGATAGCAAAATTGGCAAAAAAGTAAAAGAGTTTGAACTTTATGTGGCACAACATGTTAAGGAATAGCCGAGTGATTACGAAAGTGAAGAATATGTTCACTGACATATTGCTAATCTGCCCAGTCGACCTGATCTCTAATAGGAAGATCTCTTATGGCACAAGACAACCTAGTAGTGACCATGTGAAGTCGACACTTAAATGCAAATAAACGCCACCACCAACCCGACGTAGTTCTTTGACAACTACATGTCGAGTTAGTGACTCCGAACTTGATGCCAATAAGCATGGCCATAGTGATCTAACATATGATCATTTGAACCACACCTTCTAAAAACTGATCGCGTCACCCCAACTTATCTATATATGCAATAGATATGAATGTGGACAACATGTTCACTATGCTAGTAATGACGGCGGACATGAGTGAAGCCTGCTTATTGAATCCCACGATTTTGAATAGAAAACAGGCATAGAACATGATAACGTTTATGCCAATGAGTTGTTGGAAAATGGGGACGATTATTATCATGGTGAGTTGTGGTATGTATTTACGTCGTTTGATTTTTTTCATGGGTGCTTCACGGCCTTAAACCTGTTGCTGGCGATTACTTGGTCTTCGTATTCCTCGTCAATGTGATCAGTTCCTCGCACCTTGCAAAACATCACATTGGCGGTGGACTCATGCCCTCACTTGTTTAGTGAGTTGGGGGTTTTGGGTGTACAAAAATGCCGATGGTGATGATGGCGCTAAGCACGATAGCAATGGAAAGGCTCCAACCCCAATGTCCTCTAATATGTGATGTACAGTGCTTAATGAGATTTGCGGCCAAGATGTTGATTGTGATCATCATCTGGAAGCCGATATTGAGCATGCCGCAGAGTTTAGGTGGAGCCATATTCAAGAGGTGGACGAGCACTGATTGGTTGGCGAAGCTGATGCCTCGGAGGATGAAACCAAGGATTAGCATGAGAAAACTCACCGAATCGTCGTTGAGGATGGCACCAACTGAGAAGGTAAGGCTGCCTCCGAACATGAGCTATTTGCGGTCGAACACCCACCCTTGTAACAGTTGAGGCAAAGGAGGAGATAAGGGCCACTGGATACAAGGATGATGTGAAAAGTGTCAGGTGTTCGCTTTTGAATTTACAATATTCAATAGTGGAGACATTCTCCTTTACCTTGTGTTACACCGACGTGAAGAATTAGACAAGAAAGGAATCCATCGATGTGACTCCACCGGAGATGCTGATGTCATACCCGAAGATGAGGCCTCCGATGGCGTCGACTAGGCATGCTAGGAATACAAAACCCTTAAACTTGCCGAGGGTATTCTTTCACGACCACTTTGCTCACCATTATTGTTATGGCTAAAGGAGCAGTGATGAATCCTAGATATGGAAACGAATACCCTAGCAAGATGATGGTTTTGTATTCCTAACATTCCAAATCGCCACCACCCGATGCCTCATATTTGGGTATAACATTGACATCTCTGTCGTAGTCATATTGATGAATTCTTTTCTTGTTCCGTTTTTTCCGTTGGTGTACCACAAATAAAAGGAGAATCTCTCCACCAATAAATATTGTAAATTCAACAATGAACTCCTCACATTCTTCACATCATCTTGTATCTGGAGGCCCTCATCGTACCATCTTCATCTCGACATTCACAAGGGAGTTTGGCTGCAAATTATTCATGTTCGACGAGGGTCTTACCTTTCTAGTTGATGCGACCCTCAATAGTTTGGTGGTGAACTTACTAATGTTGATCCTCGATCGCATCCTCCTCATCATCGGCGTCGGCTTCTCCATCCAATCCTTGCCACTCTACCTCTCAGAGATGGTTCCCTCTAGGCTCTGCAACAGTGCTCAACATGGACTTCCTGATGATCATCACAATAGACATCCTTGCTACAAATCTCATTAACTACTGGACGAAACCAATCAAAGGGGGTAGGGGTTACTCTATGCAAGGTGTGTGGCAATGATGAAATACATAATGAATTACAGGATCTTGTGCTCTCTAACAATGATGCCAAAGCCTTAATGCACCCATGGAAAAATATCATAGAGCCTAAATATAGATCACAACTCACCATGGAAAATACACGACCACTTTTTTTTTTTTTTCAACAAATCTTTGGCATAAATGAGGTAATGTTATATGCCCTAATGGTCTTCAAAATTTTAGGCTTCAGCAGCCTAGCTTAGCTCATGTCCTCTATTATCTCAAGCTTGCTGAACGTGATAGCCACATCCGTGTCTATTGTATATGTAAACAAGTTAGGGCGTCATGTTCTATTTTTAGAAGGTGGCCGAGTTCAAATGATCATTTGCTAGATCATTATGTGTGCACTCATCAGTATCAAATTTGAAGTAATCGGTGCGCACACAGATTTGTTAAAGAGAAACACTGGGTTTGAGGTGGTGTTCATTTGCATCTACGTGCTAGCCTTTGAGTGGTCTTGGGGATCGCTCAGGTGTTTTATGCCATTAGAGATATTCCCAATGAAGGTTACGTTGGTGGGGCATAGCATACGTCTTGGTGAACATGTTCTTCAAATTCATAATCACTCAGTTGTTCTTCAACATGCTTTGGCACATGAAGTTCAAACTCTTCTATGTTATTGTCAGCTTTTTTATTACAATGACAACATTTAGCTTTTTCTGTTTCCATAGATGGAGAATATGTCAATCGAAGAGATGGTATTTGTATGGAGAAAGCATTGGTTTTGGAGAAAGTTCATCCTTGATGAGGCTCTGCATGTCACAAATGTTGTTGCTACATAATTGAATATTCATGACGAGGCTATGTTGTTGTGATCACGATCGATGGATTTAATATGAATCATTAAAAAATATGATGCATCATGACATTCTCAATCTTTTCGGGAAAAATACGGTTTTTTTAATCAAGCCAATTTTCATGACATTCTCAATCTTTTCGGGAAAAATACGGATTTTTTAATCAAGCCAATTAGTGAGTGAATGAACGGAGTCTCATAAAGCTCAAGCTCAAACTCAATTAATATAGGAGATGTAATCTAAGCTCGAGCTCATGGCTTAATAAACTTGAGTCACATGCTCATTAGCACGCCTGATGACCTCACTTACACCACTAAGTTGAATGTTAATAAACTCCCAAGTACCCAAAGTAATGAGAAAAGAGAACTTTTATTTTATAATAATTTTTTATGTTGCTGGCATCTCACTATTTATCTTTCTACTCTACATCACAGAATTGAAATATTCTATTTCTCTAAGAAACAAAAATGTGCGTTTACCATAATAGCTATCGTTAAAGATAACATTTTTTAACTCATTGCATTTGCTTCATTGAATTAACAATTGAAACCCCTTCATTTTCTTGAGATAGTCATCAGCTTGGGGTTTCGGTTCATATAAAGGACTGAAGCTTTAAGTTGTGTATATGTAGGGCTGCAAATGAACCGAATCGAACCGCGCATGTTAGTGTTCATGTTTGAGTTCATTTATTATTAGCTTGTTCAAGTTTGGTTCATGTTTGATTCGAGCTTTATAGTTTGTGTTCATGTTTGATTCGTTTAAATTAATAGTGTTCATGTTTGGTTCATGTTCGGTTCATGTTCGGTTCATGTTCAGTTCGTTTATTGCTTATCGAGCTTTAAACAAACAAGCCTTAACGAGCTATGTTCGTGAACATATTTAGCCAATTTTTTTACACTATCAAACAAATACGTTCATGAACAAATCTACTGAGTATTCTTGAGCTATCAAATGAGCAAGATCATGAATATATACATATCTAGTATTTTTGAACTATCAAATGAGCTCATTCACGAACAAACGATCTATGATTCTTCTTATATTTGTTTATGAACATCTCACACAAACAATCTAGCAAACATTGATAAATGTGAAATGTCTCTTGTTCATGAACAAATTCATTCCATTGAAGGTATAAAATAAAATGAAATAAAATTTCTAATATAAGCAGTTGTCTATTTAAAATGAAAATATGATTAATATATATGAATATATTTATCGAGCTTATTCATGAATTCTAAATCGAACACAAATTGAACTTTTATGAAGCTTCTTATCGATCTTAATGTCGAGCTTGTTTACGAGCTTCAAATGATGTTGTTCGTGAACATAAATGAACCAAACACATTAGTGTTCAAGTTTGTTTATTTAAGGATCGAGTATTAAAAATGTTGTTCAAGTTTGTTAATTTAGTTAGTTAAACGATCACAAACGAGCTTTAATTGAACCGAGCAACGAGTAGCTTATCGAACGTTTGGTTCGCTTGCAGCCCTATGTATATGACATATTTGTGCATAGTTCTCTTTGTTCCCAATCAATTAATTGATTGCGATGTTATTAAAAATAAATATAAATTTTAAACTTTGTATATATTTTTAAAATATCTTAAAAAGTAATTATAATGATTTTTATCGTTACCAATAAAAATTAAATGATTATTTCAAAATGTATTTTCTTTCTACTTACCATAGGATAAACATTCGGCAAAGTTTTTTTGGCCAAATGACATAAGCACAATGCATGAAAATGAATTTATATAGTTAATGCATCTTCTACAGAACCATAAGTTGTGCCAGCACAAATAAATATAAATTTCCATAATAAGAATTCTTGTTCATATCATAAAAATCATCGCTCAGAATAATAATAATAAAATCTCATCATGAATAGTCAATTATGCCGCACCAACCATTGCGACGTGTAGAGCCTCGTCAGGGATGAACTTTTCCATAACTAATGCTTCTTCCATACGAACATCATCTCCTCAAACGGTACATTCTTCATCTCCGGAGAGAACAACAAGATGAGCGTCGTCAATATGATAGCAAAATTGAAAAAAAAAAAAAAAAGAACGTAAAAGAGTTTGAATTTTATGTTGCAAAACATGTTGAGGAATAGCCGAGCAATTACGAAAGTGAATAGCATGTTCACCGAAACTTTGATGTTCTTCCTGATCTCCAATGGGAAGATCTCTGATGGCATAAGCCAACCTAGCAGTGACCACACGAAGGCCGATAAATAAATACAAATAAACACTACCTCCAAACCGACGTAGCTCTTTGACAACTTCGTGTGCAAGCCAGTAGTGACTCCGAACTTGATGCCAGTGAATGTACCCACAATGATCCTGCATATGATCATTTGAACCCCGCCTTCTATAAATAGAGTGCGTCGCCCTATCTTATCTATAGATGCAATGGATACGAATGTAGCTACCAAATTCAAAATGCCAGTAATGACGTCCGACATGAGTGAAGCCTAGTCGTCAAATCCCATGATTTTGAATAGAATAGGGGTGTAAAGCATGTTAAGGTTTATGCTGATGAGTTGTTGGAAAATGGGGACAAGTATTTCCATGGTGAGTTGTGGTATGTATCTATGCTATATGATCTTTTTCCATGGGTGTTTCACGGCCTTAAACATGTTGCTGGTCATTAGCAGGTCTTCGTATTCCTTGTCAATGTGATCAGTTCCTCACACCACGATGAATTGTAGGATCTTTTGCTCTCCAATCATGATGCCAAGGCCTTAAGGTACCCATGAAAAAATATCATAGAGCCTAGATATAAGCCACATCTCACCATGGAAAATACAAATCCACTTTTTTTTTTCAACAAATCAATAGTATAAATGTGGTAATGTTCTACGCCCTAAGGATCTTCAAAATTGTAGACTTCACTAACCTAGCTTAGCTCATGTCTTATATTATCACCAGCTTATTGAACGTGGTAGCCACATCAGTGTCTATTATATCTATAGACAAGTTGGGGCGGCGTGTTCTATTTTTAGAAGGTGGGGTTCAAATGATCATATGCTAGATCATTGTGGGTGCACTCATCAACATCAAATTTGGAGTAATCGCTGCGCACACAGATTTGTTAAAGAGAAGCACTGGGTATGTGGTGGTGTTCATTTGCATCTACGTGCTAGCCTTTGAGTGGTCTTTGGAATCGCTCGGGTGGTTTATGCCATTAGAGATATTCCCAATGAAGGTTACGTTGGTGGGGCATAGCATCAATGTCTTGGTGAAAATGTTCTTCACATTCATAATCGCTCAGTTGTTCTTCAACATGCTTTGGCACATGAAGTTCATACTCTTTTATGTCATTGTCATTGTCAGCTTTGCTATCACAATGACAACATTTAGTTTTTTCTTTTTCCAAAGATGGAGAATGTGTCGATTGAATAGATGGTATTTGTATGGAGAAAGCATTGGTTTTGGGGAAAGTTCATCCTTGATGAGGTTCTGCACGTCTCAAAGGATGTTACTACATAATTGAATATTCATGATGAGGCTAAGTTATTGTGATCACGTGCAGAGTCCTCATGTAAAGTTTTGTCCGGATTTCAATGAAATGTTCACACGTAGTCAAAATATAATTTTTTATAATATTAAGTATTTGTTGAGTATTTACTGCATATTTGTTAAGTATTTGCTACATATTTATTGTGTATTTACTGATGTCCCCTAATAGGCTATGGCACTAGAGTCATAAATCAATTAACATTAATAATTAACTTATCACTTAACTATTTTTCGTAAAATGAGTGCTAGAACTCGACCCACTACGATTATTCAACTTATTTTCAACCCATGTATTATGCATTCGAGTGCAATATATCACTTAATTAAAATAGAAATTTAAACTATATTCCATAACTATCTATCATAACTTAAATGAAATATTAATTAATCACGTTAATTGAAATGTTCATTTGGACATAGTTTCATACAATATATAAACATCTTCAGTGGTGCGTGCTTTAGGCTTTGTTTTAGACAACTTTTTTATTACTTTCTAAAACAATTTTTTAGTACAAAAATCCTTAATTCGAAAAAATTGTGCGCTAGAAAAATACTTCAAAAAAATAGTAAGAAAACTTATATATAATTATATATACTCTAGAGAGAGAGTTTTTTTTTTTTTTCGGGAGAGAGAGAGAGTTAAATATTGATATTAACATTATTTAACTCTTATAATTTAGCACAAGTAAAACTACAAATAAAAAAACATGTTCATTGACATGTTGATGCTTTAGCTCGATCTTCGACCTAATCTCCGGAAGATCTCTGATGGCACAAGCCAACACGATAGTCCCCAAGACTGCTTGAAGGCTGACATGTACATGCAAATGAATGCCACCACCAACCCGACAACTCCATCTGCGACCAGTCACTCCAAAGTTGATGCCGTCGAGCGCACCCACAAGGATTTGACAATTGATCATTTGTCCTTAAATGGCCTAAATGTCCCAAAAAAAAAAAAAAAAAATCCTCGTGTATTTCATCGTTGCAACGCACCTCGTGAAGCATCATCTCGGCTTCCTCCTCATGCACATGCTCAAGTAGAGAGTTGGGGATCATAGGGAGAGCCAATGTACCAATCACAAGTGGGGGTGTCAAAATCAAATTTCGGGTCGGGTTCGGGTCGAATCCGAAATTGACCCGGGGGTCGATCCTAAGCCGACTTGGGTATGTAAATCCTACTTTGATCTGTATCCATCCAATAGTTAATGAGATTTGCAATGAGAATGCCGATTGTGTTCATCTTTCAGATGTTGATGTTGAGCACATCGCGGAGCCCAGCAGGAGCCATCTTGGAGAGGTAAAGTGGCAAGGATTGGTTGGCAAAGTCGACACCAATGTCAAAGAGGATGCGACCGAGGATTAGCATCAGTAAGTTCGCCGCCAGGTTGTTGAGGGTCGCACTGACTAGGAAGGTCATTCCCCTGCCGAATATGAATCATTTGTGGCTAAACACTCGTTAATAGTTGAGGCGAAGAAGGCGATAAGGACCGCCATATATAAGGATGACATGAAGAGCATGAGGATCTTGCTATTGAATTTACAGTACTCATTGGTGGAGACATTCTCTTTTTTCTTGCGGTATCCGGATGAGAAGAACCGAATAAGAAAAAGTCCATCATACCCAAAGATGAGTCAGCCGGTAGCGACGATAAGGATTGTTAGGAATAGGAAACCATCATCTTTGTTTTGTTAATTTCTTTGGGTTGCTGTTGCAGCCTTAAGTTTTATCTGTTTAGAGAATTAAGAAATTATTATTAATTTACACATTAATTATATATAAAAAAAACTGCTTTGAAGACTTATGGTTGATCTTCCTTCTTTTTTTAGTTTATTTAACGCAAGAAAGATCTCCAATTATAGAAATAGATGTCATAGTTAGCAATAAGGATAACTGAGGATCCTTCGACAAGGCAAAAATTATTGATAAAGGCAAACCAAAATTAGTAATTAATTCCCATACAAAGGAGACAGAATGGATAAGATATGCTCGATGGGCTTATAAATATCTTGGACGAAGAAGAGAGATCATGCAATCCAAAACTTTCCTCCTCCATTGATCGATCTTTAGCTCCCGGAAATCAATTACTTTGTTACCTCCTCTCGTTCCTCTACTATAATTCTTCAATTCTGTTTCGGTTAGCGATATATTGATTTCCTAAACAAAATTAAAGTCCCATCTGTCCATATCAATAATGGCCGACCCGAAGGATTACCCCGCCAAGTTGACAGTTTTTGTATTCCTGGCGTGTTTCGTCGCCGCCACCGGCGGCCTCATATTTGGGTATGATCTTGGAATCTCCGGTGGAGTTACATCAATGGATTCTTTTCTTATCCGATTCTTCCCATCGGTATACCATATGGAAAAGGAGGATGTCTCGACTAATGAATACTGTAAATTCAATAGCGAGCTCCTCACGCTATTCACGTCGTCTTTGTATCTGGCGGCACTTATCGCCTCCTTCTTCGCCGCGACTGTTACAAGGGTGTTCGGTCGCAAATGGTCCATGTTTGGCGGCGGCATCACCTTCTTAGTGGGCGCGATCGTCAACGGCGCTGCGGTAAATGTTTTTATGCTAATCCTTGGTCGTTTTCTCCTAGGAATCGGCATCGGCTTCGCCAACCAATCGGTGCCCGTCTACCTCTCCGAGATGGCTCCCCCTAAACTCCGTGGCATGCTCAACATCGGCTTCCAGATGATGATCACAATCGGCATCTTGATCGCAAATCTCATCAACTATTGGACAGCACTGATCAAAGGGGGGTGGGGTTGGCGTGTGAGCCTTGGCCTCGCTGCTGTGCCTGGTGCCATCATCGCCGTTGGTGCTTTTGTACTCCCTGAAACCCCCAACTCACTACTTGAGCGCGGGCATGATGCCGCCGCCAAGGCGATGCTCCATAAGGTGCGAGGAACACATCGCGTTGACGAGGAATACGAAGATCTAGTAATCGCTAGCAATGAATCTAAGGCCGTGAAGCACCCATGGAAAAATATCATCCAACGCCGATATAGACCACAACTCACCATGGCAATACTCATCCCCTTTTTCCAGCAATTTACTGGCATCAACATCATCACGTTCTACGCACCTGTTCTATTCAAAACTATTGGCTTCGGCGACCAGGCTTCTCTCATGTCCGCTGTCATTACTGGCACAGTGAACATGTTGGCCACATTCGTATCAATTGCATCTGTAGATAAGCTGGGCCGTCGCACTCTATTTTTAGAAGGCGGGATTCAAATGATCATATGCCAAATCATTGTGGGCACGCTCATTGGCGTTAAGTTCGGAGTGACAGGCGCACAAACAGAATTTTCAAAGAGCTACGCCGGGTTGGTGGTGGCATTCATTTGCATTTATGTGTCAGCATTCGCGTGGTCATGGGGGCCACTCGGGTGGCTTGTGCCATCAGAGATCTTCCCATTAGAGATCAGGTCGGCTGGGCAGAGCATCAATGTGTCGATGAACATGTTATGCACTTTCATACTTGCTCAGGTGTTCCTCAACATGCTCTGCCACTTGAAGTTCGGACTCTTTTACTTTTTTGGTGGTTTTGTTGTCATAATGACGACGTTCATCTTCTTCTTCTTTCCGGAGACGAAGAATGTGCCAATCGAAGAGATGGTGATTGTTTGGAAGAAGCATTGGTTCTGGGGCAAGTTCATCCCTGACGAGACTCCGCAGGCCGTACGTGTTATTGCGGCATAATTTACTATTAATAATAAGGCTCTGTTATCGTGATTGTGAGCCATTGTTTTTAAGATGTTTACAAGTATTTTAATTATGGAACATTATATTTATTTGTGCTGGCACAGCTTCTCGATATGTAGAAGATGCATTAACTATATTAATTTATTTTCATGCATGCATGATTTTTATGTCATTTGATGGGAAAACTTTGCTGAACGTTTATAAATGTTATTTTTTGAGGAGGTTGCACCTGTTAAGATTGTGGATCTTATTCGTACTAATGGTGGTAATAAACGTAAGAATAAAGGTAATAAGAAATAGCCTTTGCCTTTGCTTTTCGGAGGTGAATTTTGATGGCTTTCTGGACAATGATGTGGTTGCCCCCAGCTGCCCCTCGCTGTCTTGGCTGGTTGGCAACCGAGGTGATTTGGAATTTTCCTGGATTGATTGGTGGCTTGGTTATGGTAGTCTTTTCACCTTTGGATGGTCCGTGACTGGTAGCGTGGTTGGTGCTGGGAGCTCCGTTACTGAGTCCGATTTTGAATCTTTTTACTCTCACTGTTTTGTATCGAGCTATTTGTTTAGTCACCTTTACTATGTTGTTGTATGGCTGGGAGCCTTGGTCTATAATTTTCTTGTTGGTTGAATAAAAGGTTATCTTCTGTTAAAAAAAATGGTAAGTAGAGAGAAAATACAATTTGAAAATCATGATTTTATTTTTATTTAATTTATTGGTAGTAATAAAAATCATTATCATTACTTTTTTAAGCTATTTTAAAACTATTTATAAATTTTTAATTCTTATTTATTTTTAATTAAATCACAATCTTTTAAAACATATTTTCTAACTTCTATTAATCAATTGGAAACTTATGGTTTATTTTGAGAAGCTTTTTTACCGCTTTCTAGAACAAGTTCCTAGAAAAAAACTTTCCAATTTAAAAAATTTTTATGCTAAAAAACTATTTTAAAATACAGTAAAAAAATTATCCCGAAAGAAGCCTAAGTGAACTATTATGCACAAACATGCTGTCTTATTGCACATGGATTACTAATTTATATGCATAACGGGAAGCTAAATATCAGTTCTCTACGGCATTATATTTTTTGTACTAATTGTTTCAAAAAGTTTTGATCAAGTTAATATATTCATTTAATATATATTTTGTTCATGATAGGGGTGTCAAAATAGATTAATGGGTCGGATTCTTAATTGATTCAGAATTGACCCGATCTAAATTCGATCAGCCCGAATCCGACAACTTCAACTAAGATGTTAGAAATTATAAGAAAAATGAACAAAAATTTTCTAAAACAATTCCTAATTAAGAAAAGTTCCAAAAAAAAAAAAAATTTTAGGCGTTTCTTGATGAAGTGATTATCAATGGAAGCGCCCGCGCCAAAAATCGCTGGTACCAGCATGGGTGGTTATTAGCCTAGTTACGATTTCGATTTTAGGCAAACATATTTTGATACTTTTGGGGTTCCCTATCATAATTATTTTTCGATATTTTGAACTCAATTTTAGAACTTTTTGAAGCCTTATGGATCCCATATGAGCGAAATGTTTCCTCTAATTGATGTTTCAACTTAAAGAAAAAATAAATTTATAATAAAGAAATTTTTATTTAGTAAATGTTGTAGTCCAAAAAGCGGTTGCTTCTTATAAATTGTAATATTCTCAAAATTATAATTTTGTAGGTTTTTTTTTTTTTTTAAGATTTTGAAGATTTAGCATATAATTTCGAATGGCATAAGCTCTCACGTTTGAACATTAGGAGCAATTGATATGTCCTCAAAATTTTGCTTGATAAGCAAAAGTCTAGTGAGAATATTTAAATTAGAAACTTTCAGAATTAAACTTAGAACCATCTAAACTTTGAATTTAACAAACATATAATCTAACCGAATGTCTCGACTAGACAAACTCAGCAACACCTTAAATGATCCGAGGTTAGTTCAAATGAACCCAAATCAAGCACTTCAAACATATTTGAAAACTTTCGAATAAGAATTGAAAAATCAAACTATTTCCAAATTTTGTGTGCTTATTGTCAAATCTAGTGACTTAAAGAGACAAATCCAATGAGTCCAAGATCAATGATTATGGCATCATTAAAGTGATCAAATACTTTTTTTGGGTAAAATGAGGGCTTGGCCCATTCTATTAAAAGACAAAATGATTACACTTTAAAGAAACCAAAAAGCATTGCCACAGCAAAAAAGAGGCAAGCAATGAACAAAACTATAAAACAAAATTGAAGAAACATAAAACAGACAAAATGTCTGTAGCCAGGACTCAGAAATAAGAAATAATCATTAAGCAATCAGCCTCCTTTGGTTGCCCGTAGACCGTCCAAAAGGAGCGGCAGGGTTCATCATCGTCCTGAGCTCAAAAATAAACCTGCCGAAGAATCCAAAATCCCTCTTGCAACGAAGCAGCGTCAGATTTGGAAGAGAGCAGCAATAAAAATTGCTACCAGCACATCCAAAATTGGAATTGATTGCCTGCCGAATAACACCAATTTCCTCCAGCAAAATAGTAGGCCCATATAAAAGTTTGGCGGAAACACAGAAAGACAACCTCTTAAAGCCGATAAATAATATAAATATAATTATATAATATATAATATATATAATTAAATAAATTATATATTAATATATTATATAATATATATATATTATATAAATTATATATATATATATATATATATATATATATTTGCATTGCAATAAAGAATATAAAAATCATTCAGATATTCACTTAAATGCTTTATTCGTTAGCCAAATGATTCAAACAGCTTGAGTAATTTCATCAATTTCAACTACATATCAAGGACTGTTCAATAACATCTATTTTAAAGCTTTTAAATATATTACAATATTATTTTCTCGGGTCATAATCATATTTTAAATTATTAAAAATACAATACTTTTCAATTTACCTATATATATAAATTCAGAAAATTCAAATAAATATATATATATTTTAAAAATTGATATAGGAGAAATGTTACCAACCTCGATTTGGATAATTTTTGGAACTAGAACGGCAGCAGAATAGGAACCAAGAGCCACCAAAAATTATTTTCTCTCTCTATAACTCTTCCTATATTCTCTCTAATAATCAGAGTTCAATTTGGGGAGACGGGTGGTGTTTGGAAAATAAGGATTTGAATTTATTTTCATAAAAAACTAATCTGGCTAAACGATAGACTACAAAGACAGAATAGTAGACCTCAAAGAGAGACACGAGTGACACCCCTAAGCGAGTGATAATTCTGTGAGGTTAGAAATAATAACAGGAAAAAAATAAAAAACGGAACATACTAAATGCTACGTAACGTTTGAGTAAACAGCGTAGGTACATCCGGTAATTGCTTCGTATTTTCAACGGAGGTAATAAAAATCCCCCTCAGAGACGCCTTAGCGTCACCCCAAATCTTTTTACAAAAGAGAGCTGAATATCACAGTGCGCAGCCACTGAGCGTACGGTTGCTCCTAGAGAAAATTTTGTTTTTTTGTTTTATGCCACGTAATTTTTTATATGTCAAGTATTTGAACAGACACGAAAACCCGACCGAAAATCGAGGTTCGAACCCGACACGATTTCCAAAATTGGGTCGGGTTTCGGGTTCCAAATCTGACTCTTCTTAAAAACGGGTCGGGTTCGGGTGGACCCGGCGGTTCCAGGGTCAACCCGTTTAATTCGAGAAAATTTTTCGAGATCCCCGCCTCTGCCCGCTGCCTCCGCTGCCCGAGTCGCGCGCCTGCCCGGCGCCCGCCGCGCGCGCCCGCACGCGCTGCCCCGCGCTACTACCCTCATAGAATAATATTATGCGATATATTTATGCATGATGCAAAATAATCTAACCACATATTTAAGGGAAGTTATAAGTGTTGAAGGGATTCTGATGAGCAGGCCCCACAGTGCCCAGGAGCGACTGTTTGCGCCTATCATAGATGAGCACAAATTGGCATGACGCCAAATGGGCGTCTTTTTGAGCTTCATCAGAGGAATTGCGCTCGTTCTGTGCCCCAATAATGCCTAACAATATTATAGTTGTCGTGTCAGATTGAGTCGTAATTTCCTCAGCTATTGCCGAGAATGAAACAACGCCTTGGGTGAGGCTTTTGGGGCGGCCACGTTATATTTCTTGCTATGTTCGCTAGTCCATTCAAGTTCGCACTGTACCAACGTAACCAACGCGAATGTGTCTCTTGGGGGCCGTGTCCCCCGAACCGATCGGGTCAGTCATCTGGCTGCATAATTGCTAACAAAATTACTCTCAAACGCGTCTGGCGTCCGCGGTTCGGGTTATCTTTTCCGCTCGCGTCTGTCTAAACCCCGGCTGTCGGGTTAGAGGGATCGATGCCCCTCATTTGAACTCGGGTTAGTTTCGGTGTTGTCTCGCAGCCCGAACCCGACTCACCTCTCGGTGTGACCGCCTGAATGTGACAACCTCTTACTTATCCGTGTGCTTATCAGACGTGTAAAGGCATAAATGACCGAAAAAATTTCGAAACTGCTACAACCTGCAATGTTTGCTATCAGGCAACACAGTCAGCAATACTACATCACACATCTATACCAAACAATACTCCTATGAAATCCACATACAGATCTATTTTCCACCCAGCGCTTCGTCAAAGCATTTAGGACACACAGTACTACTTTGACAGACGTGTAGACTCTCTGCGACACGTTAAAACCCATACAACGTGCTGCCTTGAGCAGATGTTAAGTCACGTGAAATAAGTCAATCTGCGACCATTAGCAGATATACTCCAAGTTTTCGGGAGCCACTTGGTGTTAATCAGATTGTATCGTTCTTAGTCGCCTCCGACCGTTGCTCCGACAGATTTTTATATTATGAGTTAGGTCTATATATCTCTATCATAGCTCTCACACAGCCCCGCATTCTCTGGCTCAAACAGAAAAAACATGCAGATCTATGCATCAACTTTTTCTAGAGTACACTACACAGAAACATGAGCCCAAGCCTGATTTACACCCC